AAAAGGCAACGTTTAACATGGGTGTTAATTTTTCCCCTAAGAAGGGTTAACTCCAACTAAACAGCATGCAATAAAGACAGAACATTTCCCAATAAAACTGAAGTCATTTCTATTCTATACAATAAGCTCAGGAAGCAAAATAAAAATCTATCTGCATTGTATGAGGTCAGTCAAGCTAGAGATGGTTATTTAAAATCTGAATATTAAAAACACATGCTTCTCTTTGGAGGCTTTTAAAGAACCTGAACCTGCTGGCGCTCAGCATTTCTCAAGGAATGCTGAACACCTTCAAAACCACACCAGAAGACTCGAGCCACCTCACATGGGAGGTCAAAGGGTGTAGGATTGTACTCTATCTGATGAAAACTGTTTAGACAAGATGAACATTTTTTAAAATTTTAAATTTAATCTTTAATCATTTCTTATTTACAAAGTAATCCTAACAATGAGGTAATATATCCACTGCTCTACCGGTTTTAGTCTCATAACTCACACATACTCCATATACAATACTAATTAGTTTGTATTATATCAAAATGTTCTTAATAAACAGAAACGCGAAACTACTTCAGGGTTCCTTTTTCATTTTGATTATGCAATCGCCATGTAAAAGAATTTCTAGGAGGAGCATTGCACAAATACCAAGCGGGCTCTCTGCACCACAAGCAATGGACTTGTGATTGAGGACTGCCCTAGGAGGTACAAATCGGATCCCTGATGTCAGATCCCTGATGTAGAAGTTGTTTTCAACAAGCCACTGCACCACCAAGAACACTTTCACTCCTTTTCTTTGATTTCACAATACTTCTGTACGTGTACATGGAGCAACCACCAGAACAGGGCTCAAGTGGCGTCAACAGATTGTGCTTGGACAGCACCGTGTCAGCTTCACAGGGACAGCTGAGCTGAGCACACCTTGGGCTTACACGCTACCCACTAAGACACAGCAACCTGTCTGCAAAGCTATTAAAAAAACAAAACCAAAAAAAGACAGCTAATGCTTTTTGGTTGGTTTCAGAAATTTGACTGGTGAGGAATTAAAAATCTTACATAACTGAGTAATCAAAACACCATTATGACAGCTCACTTACTTCAGAGCCATTTTGGTTAAGAACGCCCTGAATATTCACTCTGTGTACAGCATTCCCTTGACCAGCAAAAGGACATAACAGTCGTCTTTTATTGCAGCTCATCCATTTATGAACACATTTATGCTCTGACAAGTTTTAAAGGGGCAGGAAGCAAAAGAATCCCATTTGAATACCAAATGGGGAGTAATATGGTAAAAATGCCAAACACTACAAATTTTGCAAGCTACCAGTATTTACCGTTCATCATTAAGGGTTGTATATTCTCATGCAAGCATGCCACAATGAGAAAACAACATCTCTATAAGGGTAAAACAAACAGCATTTAGAATTTCTGAAAGCATTCTTCCAAAATTATTGCACTAGATTAGATTGCCTCATCAACAGGGCCAGAGGACATTTGCACTATTTTCTTGCCCTTTTTTTTTTTTTCATGTAACAGATGAAAGGAATACAGAAAGTTTTCTGGGGCCAAAATCGGAATTAACGATGGGAAAATTCTTTTGCTAATCCCCCATCTCTCCCACTGCTAGCAGACTCCCGAGGCTGGAAAAAAAACAATGTCTCCTGGTACCCTGCTTCTACTTTGCTCATCAGTGCAAAATACTACGCTCAGGAGGTTTGAAAAGGACCCTCAGCTTAGCGCAGAGCCATAAAATCTCAAGGACAGAGCTATAATGAAAATCTGAGTAAAGAATGACATGAGACTCCAATTAAAACTTGGAAGCATCGCAGTGAAATCAAAGGGTAGGATTCATTTGCTCAGGGCAGATGTCTGCAAAGCAACCACCTCCGTCCAAGCCCAGGCTCACTTATGATCAGTGAGGAAAAACCAGGCTTTTCCAGGGCACGGCTGCTCCATCCTGAGCTGGGCGCATAAGGCAGGCTGGAGGCATCACATCAGAGGAATCCCTCTGGTGCCTGCCGCCTGGGATGGCAGCTCAGCCACCGGCTGGAAGGTGGGCTCAGGGGAAGCTGCGTCCCCCAGCCTGCCCGAGGAGAAGGATCAAATCTTCTGCAGAACCCAAACTTCCCCGGATGGCAGCAGCTGCCCCGCGAGGCTCATTTCCAGGATGCCTTGAGATGCCCCCTTACAAACCTCGAGCATTACTCCTTGTCATGCCTGTCAGCCCACCAGTGAAGTAAAAATAGATACTGCCAAGTAACCACCCTTCTAAAAGCCAAGTTTAATCATTTTTCAGTCATTTAACAAACACAAAAGAATTTACACGTACCAGCTCTACTCAAGAAGTAAACTTTGCATAATTAATCTGGATGCCTCCACTACTTTCTGCGGCTGGAGAATCTGCAAATGCACAGCTACACCAACAGGCACTCAGGGGAAAATGCCTCCGGCTAGCCTGAAGAACTGGGAAGTGCAAATAGCTCAGCGAACAGAGAGCTTGAACTGCTAGGGAAGGAAAAAAGCACAGTGTCTGGAAAATAATTACACTTATCCAGTGCTCTGAACTGCGTTGCTGTTAACTATCAGACATCATCAGCTACTTCTGAATTAAGTTGTATTTTATCACAAGCTCTAGCTCCAAAGCCAGAACTGAGCTAAAGGCACCTAATTAGCTGCAGAAGGTGGGAATGTCCAAAGCAGGTTAGCCATGTGGAAGTCGAGCTTCCCACAGAAGCACACAGTTTGATGGAAAATTTGACTCAAATAAAAAGAAATATTGATGCAGCACTTAATGAAGATGAACTTCCCCTGCCTTGCCACAATACAGACGATGCTATTATCACTCAGCACGAGGAAGGAAAGAGATTCCGAGCAAGGGGAAATTACAGGGCAGTTATGCTCATCAACCTGACAGTGTAATAGTGACACAATATTGGCAAAGTGCCTGAGAAAAGTCTGCGGACAATTAAGCACAGGGCATAAAATAAGATGCGTAAAGGGAAAGTAGACATTGGAAAATATTGCTAGGGATTTCAGCTTTTCCAGCGTGCCAGAGGCATGAAACACCCTACCATATCCCCCATATCCACAAAAACAAAGAATTGCACCAAGTCAGAGAAAACATGAAAGTTCAACTTGCTTGGTAGTAGAGAAGCCAAGCACTCAGTGCTCTGACCCTCCCTCTGCAGAAGTCAGTCTGCTTCCCTACGTTTTCAGGGTGCCAAAGACCTATAAAGAAGGCACTCTACGTGACTGGTAGGCAGGCTTTATTCTTACGATCGTGGGGCAGTGAGCAGCACAGGCAACTCCCCATTTTCCCTGCCCTCAGAACCTAGCCTGCAGTCAGCAGCAGGCAATCCTCACCACTTTTTACCCCCAGCACTTGGGAAAGCTTTTATTTTGAGAAAGAGTTGCTTGGAGGTCCCAAAAGAGCTCATATGAAAACAAAGAATTTTACTCTAGGCTTTGTAAATAACTGCAAGACAAGCAAGTCAAACAAAACTGGCATTATTTGCACTATTTGTGAAAAGGAGGGTTAAATACATTCCCAATTTCAGAGACGTTTCAAGGCTTCATTGCTAGAAAAAGCCTGGTATGGTCACGCAGAAATGCAATGGTACAATGCACATAACCTTCCGAGTCCCAGAACATAAGGATCTGGGGAACCTCCCCCGACCCCCAAGAGAGGGAAATGGGACACAGATTATATATTTTCCTGATGAGAAACCAAGGTTTCACAAAGAATTAGTAAACACACTCATGCTTCCCACCTGTTTTCTATTTAGAGTGAAAAAAAACAATTAATGTGACTTTTTAAACAACAGTTAATAGAAGAAACTTATGAAACTGAGATTTCTAATTGAAAATGTCTTTACTCAGATGAGGCAGAGGATCAAAATATGACAAGAGCACTAAGCATAGTTTCTCCCAGCTGTGCAAACCATTTCTTAACAATCTTAAGATTAACAATGACATATTCTAGACATTTCTCATCCCTCCTGGATTTAGCCAGAACATGTATACAAGGCAAACACGAGAAAGCCGCAGCCTCACTTCACTCAGTTGGAACGGAGCTCCCAGGCAGCACTTTCTGTTACGTGATTGTTAATTCGGGAACCCCCTCGCTACGAGCAGGCACGCCGAGAAATACAAGGGAAAAACACAGGTCCAGGAAGAAGCTGATTTAAGCGTATCATTTATTAGCAAGTAAAAGGACATTTACCTTCTCAGTGGTTAAGCACAACACAACCCGAAGATAAACCATATGGCTCAAGTCTTTGTGCAAGGGAGAAGACTGGCAGGGCTCCAAGGCTCTAATTGAACTATTACCATATTGTAAGAAATGAAAAAGTCAGAAAGACTAGAGGAGCTGCTCTCCTAGGGACAGTTGATGTCAGGCAAACAATTAAGTGAATAACAAAGCACATTTAACAGGAGAGCAATTCCACCATTTGGGTACTGGCTCTGTTTAAAGAAGATAGGTACTATTCTATTTCAATATTGCCCTTAACTTGATCCTACATTCAGTTCATGAAGTCTTCAAAAGCCAAATTATTTGTAGCAAACAATGCAATGCTTCTCCTTTAATTGCTGGCACAAGATTTTTCCATTCAGCTAATAACTAAAGACACAGAGCAAGGATGTTCAAATGAAACTCAGAAACAAATAAAAGATTGCCATTAAAAAAAAAAAAGGCATTAGAATAGAATCACTGAAAAATGCAGAAGATCCAAGTATAAAATGAATTTTGTACTATGTAAAAACGATCTCCAATCCTTTTTTTCCCAAAGACGGTTTTCATAAAAATACACCAAGTGTTACAAACTTTATGCACAAGGCAAAATAAATAGTTCATGAATGCATAGAATCTGCAGGATTCGTTGTTACAGAAACCTTTACAGTATTGCCTTGTTACTTTGTGGGTGAAAAAGCATGCAATTGTGTGAAGACTAAAAGAAACGAAATGGTCTTACATAAAAATAAGTCTCTGTGGCTCTTGTTCTTACCATTCTGTTCATCCAGCTCATTCCCAATTTCCTGTCCCATTTGCTTTTGCCGGGATATGATTGAAGAAAGAGCATCAAGTCCAGCATCTTGCTCTGCATCAGAAATTACATGAAATTATGTGAAAAAAAAAATCAGTAAGCCAGGCAATGTACCACAAAAGATGCAGAAGTGAAGAAAGATCTACTCTGTGTTTAAAGAGTTAAAAGGTATTAAGAAAAAGACATCAACACAACATGAAAATGAACCCTTATGGCAACAACACTCTAAAATAATGTGAATGATGGGTAATTAATTTGTCTGCTCTGGCTGGGACATTTAGCTGAGGGTCCCAAAAAATCCAAGAATTCGACATCCAGCTGTTACTCAATCATAAATGTAGGAGATTTTCTGGCACACACATACAGATCCCTGATTAGCCTTTTTAAATTTTCCAAGAAACTTTTAACATGAATAAAAGACAAACAGGTGATGCAAGCAGCAAAGAATTCAAATAGATTTTTAAAGCTGCAAGAGGATACAGAGCGCATGGAAAAGAGCCTGAGACAGAGGGGACAACGGGGGCAGCTGAAGTTTGAGGTGCTCCCAGCAGCTCTGCAGGCACTCCTCTAGGAAGCCCCACGTTATCTCTGCTCTTGCAGTTCTGTGGTGCTGCACAGCCCTTCGCCAGCACCTGAACCATGACGTGCAGCTCTCCGTGCCCAGCAAAGTCACGAAGCAGAACAAGGAGAGGTGCTGCAGGCAGGACTGTTAGCGGTCTGACAGAGTGAAAAGCAGCAATGCTGCACAGAGAGAGACTGCGTGAGGGGGCAGCTGGCTGCAGCCAGAGAGCCAAAAGCCATACAGGATGATCAGAACCCATTTGCTTCCCTTAACAGGGTGAAAGCCTTGTCACCAATACCTTTTTTTAGCCTCCCCAAAGGGATATCTGGGATGTAATCAAAACTGGAGCTTGAGGTTTCTCCTGGGGCATCCAAATAGAGTTTGTGCCATTCTCCTGAACCGTAGCTCTAACCTTTGCTCACACGCAGACTCGAGCAGGCCTTATCTGGAGACTGATTTCACTTGATCATTTCCAATACTTTAATTACACAGGAATTACCTCATTACCCACCTGGGATCCTCAGGCAGAAGCTTTCCAACACTGCTAAAGCTAAGGAATCTATTCCTTATGGATGCTGAGGGCCAAAATCTTTTTAGGTCAGTTAATTCTTCCCTAATTCCAACTCTCCAATCCATCTAACACATACCTCGCTTGAAGCACAGCAGCAATACCACTACAGTCAGTGCAATTAATGAGATCTCCACTGCAAACTTAAACCAGAACTACGGACAAAATCACATTAGCCTTGTGAAAATCTCACCTGTCCAGGGTTAAATCAAGCTATACTCGCTCAAGCTATTACTCGCTCAACTTCACCAAAATGCAGACAAAAGACTATCATTGAATTACTTGCATCTGACTGTAAAGAAACCTTACAAGTTCATGTGCTCAGAAACACAATTAACTGTTTCAGTGGTTTCTCCTCCCCTGTCACAGCACAGATTACTCACTTCAATCCAAATGGAGATAGCTTTGAAAAGCTGCTTTGAGAAGATGTTTCCAGTTAAGAACACTGCAAGCACAATACGGCTCCTGCTAACACAGGAGACAGCCACCTGGAAGTATCATGTTTGACAGCCCCAGATAATAAAACTTCAGTGCTGGTTATTGCATGGATTTTCTAACAAGGGCTCTCACAGAGTCTTAGTGATGCTCATAACGTACAAAAAGACTCTTTTACCTTCTATGATCCTCCGCTGCTGCTGCCTGATATCGTGAAAGCCAAGCCCTCTGGTTTCCTCAGGTTCATCCAAGAGCCACGGGTTGGTCACGCCTCGTTTGATCCCTCCAGTCATTAGGCTAGATCTGAAAATAATTTCATTAAATAATTCTCAAGTTTTAAACAAAATCCACACACTCTAATTCATGCACGCAAGACTGGCTGGCAGAGATGGAACTGCAAGTATCTGTCACACTCCACACTGTTATCTGCAATCATAGAAGAAATTAGCCAGAAAGAATCCACTTATCTCCAACAACAAATGCATTCTGCAAGCTCCGTAACACTGCCTGAAAGCAATAAAGCACAAAGAGAATTAATTTTGCACCAAACAATTAAACTACATGGTGAGATGCATACCATACATTCTATAATCGATTCACATTAAGTACATTGCTTGCATGTAGAACATGTAGCATTCAAAACTGTTACAAAGGAAGAAAAAGGGTTACTGGAAATCAACATATTCTTCATGTATTTGCTCTGCAATCGAGCCACAAGCTTCTAAAAACAGCGAGGTACAGCCTGAAAGTTTCCAACAGTACAAGGGTCGGTATGCTGATGCAGACACAAAGCAGAGAACTTTTCCCTGCATTGCTGGTTTGCCACGAACATGAAGACAGGCACACACACACTTAACGTGAAAAAGTAATCGATGCACAGGTTTTCTTTTAAAGCACTCATGACTTGAGGGTGTTCACCTTACAGACACTTCCCCGGTTACACCAGGAAACAAGTTCTTCATGCCCACAGCACCTACATTCTGCAGCAGAGTGAAATGCCATGTAAGTATTTTTCTCTATACCAGATTTCTGGTTTCCTCCTTTCAGCTTCTCATTTGTTTCTGCTACAGGATAAACGTTTTATGATTGCCTGCGAGACATTTGGACCCAAAACCGCAAATCTGATTTGGGGTAAGAGTCATTGACGAGACTGGATCCTCAACAGCAGCATGGAAACAGGATTAATCTCTGCTTTGCTTTTTTAATTTCTGCATTTTATTCTCATTTTTATCTTTACCCTCTTCTTTCCCAAATCATTCTCACAAACGAAGCAAGACCAGGCAGCATTTTTAGTACCTCTCAAGCAATTCTCCCAAAATCTCAAAAATGTGTTTTATTACACTAAGACCTATTTATTTTATTTTTAATCAAGTCCAGGCCCCTTCTCCACAGCATGGACCGAAGCGCTATATGGTAATAAGATATGCTTGATATCATTTTGTGATCAAAACCCTGAATCAAAGCAAGTTCATGTCACAAAAGTATCAGTACAGATGGGAAGAATTAACTGCATATTGTTAAACAAGGTTCTACTGCAGAACTCTGCAGAAGGGTGACCGAAGTTTTACAGCAAAGGTATTTAAGCAAAAGCCACGATTTGTGCCTAGGAGATCCCTGAGGAATTACGGTGAACTAGAGACATCTCCTGGCCATGATGATGAATCAACACTGCTAGAAAAAAATCATCTCCCAATCATCTCTCACGGTCCCATGACCCAAAATCATGTGAGTTTTGGATCATCCGTAAATTAGACACACTTCATGTTGTGTTCACAGCCATTTAAATTTGAGAACCTCCAATTCCTTCTCACTTTAAATTTTAAACGCATTCACTTAACTTCATCTCAAAGCAATGGATTTGTCAGAACCAAATAAGTGACTTTGGTTCCTGCAACACTACGAAGTGCTTATTGTTAACCACAAAATCTCTCGTAACCACCCTGATGGTGCTGGGCCATCGCTCTGGAGCAGACCCCAAACCGCCTCCTGTCCCAGCAACCACCCGGCTGTCATGGGCAGCACCTGGAACAAAGAGCTGGGGGATTTCTGCACGTCAGTCCTCTGCGCCTCCATGAAAACTCACGGGTATTTATCGAGCTAGGATCAGGTTTAATTAAAGATAACTCTGAAATACCATTTTACACATTACCTAGATTTCTCCATCGCTTTGGAGGGTTAAGCCCACTCTTACTCTTCTAGTTTCAGGTTCACAGAGCCAAGTGTAACGACGCATTGCACTTCTGAAGACCAAGATCATTACAGCCACAGTCCAGCAGTGCAATTAGCAAGCACACACAATCTAGGGTTAACAACACCTGACAAAATTGCTTAAATAAAGCAAAAGGAACATAAAGCTCTTTGCTCGCTAAGAACACAACTATTTCTGCCTGTCAAAAAAGTCAAGGCAAGCAAATTTGAAATAATTTGCACTCTCTCCCCCCCCCAATAATCTGCCCTATTCTTGTAGGTTGGGTCATGACAACAGGTCTGCTCGTTACAATAATCTTTTTGACATGTTTGGTAACTACCTTCCCACACAACACAGCAGAACTTCCTACTTCCTCTGATCTTCCCATGTTTCGCTTTGGTGGTGTGAAGATTAAAGCTTATCCAATTAGCCACCCACCGCCTCCGCCAAGTTAATCACGTAAATCTTTGAAACCGTCACAGAGCAGTGGAGTGTGCGGATAGCTTTTGATTATAGGAGCAGATTTAACTAATTATGAGGCTTAGCAATGTGCCCAAGTATAAAAGATGATGGGGTTTAAAATCAGGGGGCTATGCCATTGCTTAACAAGTGAGGGCTTATCTTTCAGAAGGCATTGTTTCACCGATAATTCCTATAAAACTTCCCGAGTAACTTAGATTAGTCAACCAGTGCTTACTTTAGACCAAGGCCACACAGCAAGGCTTACGGCTTTAGAAGACTGATCAGCACGACTGAATTTTAAACAAAACCTGGGTCATATGACAATCGGTTGCAAGCTCACTTGAGCATCCCCCTAAAGATACAGTCGTACAGTAGAAGTCTTTGAAGCGCTCCAAGCACCTCTGCTGAGCTCCGCAGGTCAGCCCCCGCAGAGGAGGCAGGGATTCTCTCACTTACGGTTTAACTGCTCACACTGGCAGGCAGGGAATTTTAGGAAGCTCCGAGCTAGTAAATCAAACACCAAGTATGATATTTTAACTTAACTTACACAACTTTTAACTTACAGAACAAAAGCTCTCCTCCCTGAGAAAACAAACAGGAGACACGGCATGAGGACGAGCTCTTCTGAGTGCCCCCGGCACCTTCCCAAACGGGGCTGTCCCCAGAAGACCCAGGGAGACCCGAGGCCCACAGGACGGGCAGCGCTGGCACCGTGAGCGAGAAGGAAGCAGCACCTCTCATGTGCACAGGGACGCTGTGCTGCTCACCGCCACTTTTCTACAGCCCCACCAACTGCTCCCCCTGGCAGAAGGGCAGCTCCAGCTCGTGCAGACAGCGGGCACCCACCAGGGAGCAGCACCATGCTGGGCGAGGGCAGAGTGGGACCCGCACACGTAGCTGGGCACCAGCACGCCCACTCGGGCTGGACGGGGTGCTCCTGCAGCAGGAGCGTCCCCAAGGACAGGGACCTTCACGACACGGCTCACACCCAGTGTTTTAATTCCCTGGGACTTCACTTTTCCATGCAGACCTCAAGACATGCACCCCAGGGAACACTTCCATGACAGCGAGCTCTCAGATACCAGCCACCCTCCTTCTACACCAGCCCTTCTCATGCTGCGGTGGCCACAGCAGAGCCACGCACCCCGCAGGACAGTTGCTCAGCAGAAGAGAGCAGTGGGATCCCACAGCCCACTCACACTCCTCTGGGATGAGAACTACAACAAGGACTCCGGTAAGCCCGCACCAGAACACCCTGGGAGCGATGCTGGTGCAGGAGCAACCTCGGGCAGGGCACTTCAGGGAGCTTTGAGCAAACTCAGGAGGCAAAATGTAAAGCAAGCAGCTCAGCCTGGAAAGCTGCCCTCCTATAGACAACTCTTCCTGAGGCTAACAAGCATTAACCACTAATAAATAGGAAAGCAGGCACAACCTGGAGCACAATGCCTGAAAGTGTGGGGTTTGACTTACCTTCCTCTGTTGTGTTTAGATACAGAGAAATCTCTGCAAAAAACAGCATCCCTTTGCAGCTCCTTAGATGCATGTGCATGCGGCGTTCCCATAACCACAGTCAGCGAGGACCTTGGAGAGCCCCAGGGATGCTGAGCGCAGACCAAACCAAGGGAAGGCTGCACACCTTCCTGGCACCTTCCTGGCATTTCACACAGACCCAAACCCCCCGGGTTTTGTGCACAGAGGTGCACAGGGCGCTGCTGCTCGCAGGTCACACCTGCACACGCTGCCACCCGGGGAGCGCTTCCAGGGTGCTCTGCAGGGAGAAGACCCAAGCACAGAGACACAATGCAGTGGACGAGAGCAATGCTGGGACAATTAGAAGCGTTTTTTCTCGTAACTACATGGCCAAAGACATATTAATCCTGGAAAATCCTGCCCCAGGCCCTTGATTTGATCCCATGACTCTCAAGCATGGGTTTCTGGGTGGACAATTTGCCTCTTCTTCCACCCTTTTGAGAAACTTTTTCATTGATCTTCTTAGACATCAGGCTAATTGCATCTGATGTCAGAAGACCCTAAAAAGCTTCCAACAGCAGAAAGACATTTTAAAGGCACGTCAAAAATTACTGCTTTTTAATCTCCTTTTCCAAAGGACATCTGCTCCTCCATAAGCAAGAGCCAGATTCTCAAAAGCTTTTAAACACCTAGCGGCTCATGGACGAACGTCAGGCACTTGATGCCCATTTGGCATAAGGCAAAACATCAGGTTGGATTAAGACCTAAATACCTTACATTCGACAGAAAAGTATTTAAACAGAAAAAATACTGGACATGGCATTATCCCACATCCAAAAAAAAAATGAGAAAAAGATTGTGGACTCTTCCAGAAGTTATTTAGGGTAGTTATTACTTAAGATGCTTTGTGTCCCATGGCCATTAAAAATTTCTGCATTTTGAGAAATTCAAAGAAATCAAAAAGGCATGTTAAGGCACACACAACTTATTTACTCACTGGTGATCTGCAAACAGTCCCACACACTGACTCCCTGGTCAGACAGGAGGAGGAATATTCTTGATTCCTTTGCCTCCACAGATATATTTTGATATTGTTTCATTTCCAGAAAGTCAACGTTTGTAGTTGCTTTTTCCACTTCTCCCTTTCAAATGATATGAAATCACTGGCATTTCTGCTTCTCTTAAGTCTCTGTTATGGTACCTGCACATATCTCTTTCGAAGGAGAAAAGCGGGGAGACGATTCTGAAATTGCCGATTGAAACCCAATTACAGAAAGCTTGAGTGACCCTACTCAGGCAGAGTCACGCAAACAGTGCAATTTTCTCCTTGGAAAATTCCAGTTGCATCTTAATTAAGGCCGACAACGCCGGAAGGGAAACTAACGTTATCCCAAAGCAATATAGCGTCCTGCCCTGTGTTCTGGCCCAAGTTGTCAGTTAGGATAAATACCAAGAGCATTAAGACCACTGTACTTCACAATCAGAAATAGCTTTACAGCAGTTTTCAAAGGATGTAAAACTCACTGAATGGTGACCAAACATAAACGAAGATTAATTCTAGCAAAACCTTCACAATTACAGGCCATGGGGACAATAAATATGTGATCAGTGGTGCAAGAAGGTTAATGAAAAGAATGACTGCTGGAAAGAAAACGACTTCTGAAAATTTGTGCTGTCACATCAGAGATGGATTAGATACGGAAAACCAATACAAAACCAGAGAAAAGTGTCACTGCTAGAACTTAATCAAACAACACGTGCTGATTTTTCTAATGCAGTGGCTAAAGCTTTCCGACTCAAAAATTTCAGCCTTCAGACACGGTGGCCTTTGCAACCCAACGCAGGCTGCTCCAGGAGGCTGTAACCATTTCAGGGAAACCGACTGCTGCAAACAGCAGCCTAACCCTGCCAGGCACTGCTGCCTTCTGTCCCTGCAAGCCACAGGGCACGCAGGGGGGACAAACTCCTTCCTGACATGACCCACCTGCAGCCTGCCTCATGCAAGGGAAAGGTCTGACTTCCTGGCACGACACTCGGGTGCTGGCTACATCTCTGCCCGTACCACTGAAAGCCAGACCTACAAGGGAGAACAGGGCAGGGGTGTGAATTCACCAGCCAGAGAATAGTTGGCATAGTTTTATCCATTTTTAATTAAAGAAGTTAAAAGAGAACTATTAAATTTCGAGCCTTGCAACACTAGAAAATAAGCACTGTCTCTGATGTTATCTTATGCTGGAAAATACTGGTTTCCCTGATCATTTCTAATGGAGCATGAAATTATCATGGGATTTTGGTATTTTCCTCCTGTCTGCCTCAACACCTTCATGCCAGGGCAGCTCGAGGTTCAGCCCTGACCCTGCCAGCTCCGCAGCCTGCAGGGACTCCTCTCACTCAAGGCCAATTTTCCAGCAGGCACATCAGTTTATGCACTGCTCAGAGCAGACGGGAGCCTTCTCACGCCCCCAGCCCCTGCAGAAACGCTGCCCACTTGGGATTTTACCAGTGTCAGTTGTCTCAGCATCCGATGTAAAAGCCATCATTGATGCACCACCTGGATTTGCACCGCACCCCAGGAAATGCCAAAGCCATTGAGGAATTAGTGGGTGGGGTGCGACCAAATCCCCCCGTTTCTGCACCTCTCGCAGGTGCTGCACTGCCAGCGTGCAGGTACACAAAGCTGGCCAACCTCAGGGCAAAACGCCTGCTTTGGACGTACCGAACACCCCGCCGGAGAACAAAGCAAGGAGAAACCAACCTCTGCACCACGGCACTGAACAGACCCTCAAGGAACGTGCACATGTTATCTTCTCTACAGCAACACCCAGCAGAATACAAAAAACTAGGTCAGTGAAACTTTGGAGCAGGTACAGCAGTTACTCAAGGAACACGAAGTAAGGAGGCTGGAAAAAAGATCTGGTTTTCAGCAGGAACATTCAGACACAACACCCACATTGCTACCCAGGTTTTTAGCCTAGGACAGCACCAAAACTGTGTCCGCCCTTTCCAAGGGAGTAGTTTTCAACTGAATATCAGCAAAAATGTTAAAAAACATGAGGATTTAAAAACACGTGACATTTTACTCTGTCCCAAGACCAAGAGCTGACAAATTGCAAAAAGGTGAAAAACTCACGAGGGCTCTAAGGTGCTGCCTCACAGAAGCACCTTCACACGTGGATGTTTAAAAGGCAGAGCCGTGCATTTGCCAGAACAGGTCCAGTGAATACAGCACATTAGAAAGCGCCTGACATTTAGAAGCACAAGCTAAAATTAACAAAACCCCACAAACATCTGCATTACACGTCTGTACTGCAGAGGTTTCCCCCTGCAACCCTTCAGCAGCAGGTCTCACTGCACCACAGGTACAGAGAGGTGAGGACGCGCTGCTCAGCCACGCTGTAGGGAAAAGTTGGGAAGAGTAAGGCAATTACCTGCACAGGGATTTAGCTAAAACTGTAACTCCTGCACACAGCAGTACTTAACCACACCCCTGGACTCAGGACACAGGTCAGTCAGACTCTTTCACCGTGGGGCTTTTAATTTTTTTGCACAAATGCTGACTCAGGCCTAATAGAGATCAAAGCACATCCCCCAGTGAATCATCAGGATTTTATCCCTAGACAGACCACTTCAATTCTGATTGATTCCATTCAGAGCCCTAATACTGTGCTAAGGTAGCATTTGCTTGCGAAGGAAGAAGGAAATGACAGCTGCGTTTTGCAGACTGTAGCCTGGCTACCAGCTGAGGAACAAGATTTATTTATTGCTACCACTCTTCTCCTCTCCTTCCAGCACCAGCTAATTCATTAATCAATTTAAACACGTGTCAAAGAAAAAGGAGTCTCATATTAATATCAGCTTTTGCAGACAAAGAGGCAGAAGAGACAGAGGCTGGTTAGCAGCACTTTCAGCCTTTATGCATCTGCCTGGTTAGCACGTGTGCAGCGCCAGGCTGAACTCAGCATACACCTTTCCTCCTGACCAGTGGGGATGTCAATGGAAACACAACAGGGGGAAAAGAAGAGGAACAAGATGAAAAGAGAGGCTGTGAAAAGCTCTTTGCTCTATGCTCTTTGAAGTGGGAAAGTGTAATGAATTCACAGGAATCTGCTGCTCAGCAAACACGCACACTGTTAACTTGCTATTTCAGGGAGACACGAAAGCTTAGATGTGCAGTAGCTGCAAGGAGTTCCTCAGCAAGACACACCCGGGCTTACACAGAAAACGAAGCTACCAAAAACTGAGAAGTACACCCAAAGGTAGCAAATACTCCCAAGTGGAATTCCTCGGCTGGAAGCTGGTGTTGAAAGATAAAACTCAGAAGTCCATCAATAAGTTGCGAGAACCAACCCATCCTTCTCTATTCCAGTGCACACGGAGTTTACAGGCCTGCAAGCTGCAGCAACCACATTAAAAGATGTCTCGCGTACAGCTCTTGCTACCGAAGCATGTAACAGCTCGGTGGTTTGTATGTTAGGGACACAGCATCTGTGTGACTCCCACCAAACCCACCTCACAGGATGCCAACGGTTTGTTTGGACAAGAGGCCTGAGGCCCACACTTCAAGGGAAGGCTCTCCTTTTCCTCCTGATCAGAGGGACGACCCCGGCTGGATTATTTCTAAGAACACATTAGGGACGGCAGCTCCAAGTCGTTCCAATAAAAAGAGGCTATGTAGGGCCTGCATAAGGAGAGCACAAATTGCAGGCTATTATCCGTAATTATTTTTCCCAGCTGTGAAGGAACTCAATGAAGGCACAAAAATAATTCAGACTGCCTTTTCCACTCAAAGACAAGCTCTGCAATATTCATGCACTAGGAAAAAAAGATTAAGAATAGAAGGTGAGTTTTCCAGATAAAGCTCTCCCCTCTTGTCTCAGGGATATTTCAGTCAGCCCCCTTGCTGAACCACCCCCCCAGAAGTACAGTCACATCTCTTTTCTGATAACACATCACTCTGTGCTGTTCTGACGTGCCAAAATAGAAATTAAAATGTAGCGTTCCATTTGACAGGCCTCACTGACTGCTGCAAAATATGATCTTTGGGGACTGTTTGAAGGTTAAGCCTTGTCCCAACAGTTCTCCTACAAGTCACAGAGAGCTGGTGGCACTGTCAGCCCAGCTCAGTGATCTCTCAGTCTGCTGTTGCCTCTTCCAAGCAGCTCTCCACTCCCTTGTCCTCCTCGGCTTAATTAACGACATTGTTGCTAAAAAAAGCACAGGATTTCCAAGCGAATGGACGTGCACGTGGCTACAGGTGAATGAACTCCATGGATCACTTAACATCTCCGGACAAACCCAGCACGAGTCACGCTGCTCACTTAAGGCAGCAGTGTCATACCTTGTCACATCTGGCTCCGGGCCTTCGTTCCTGTAAGATGCCTCGAGTTGCTTCTGCCGCGTGACAAGTTCATCCACCAAATTCTGCCTCCTGTCCCCCTCCATCTGGGTGCTAATGAGACCTGGTTAAGGACCAAGCTTAAAACACTGGAAAACTTTCATATATAAAATAAAGCATTCTATACCTTCTTAAAATAAATCTGACCTCCTGATCATGAAAATAACCACAATGCTATTTCAGCCCAAGGAACACCCACCAGGAGAGGTGCTACATCTCTGGATGACACCTGCTTTTATTAAAAACTCCCCTCCAAAGTTTACCAACCTCAAAGACAAGGATTCATAGTGACCGCAGTGTGATATTCAGCTCATCATCTAGCACAGTCAGCGAAAGTGGGGGGCTTTCTGCTGCCAAATCAGTTGAAGTGTTAAGAATCCTACATCCAACATCGTTCTGCCTTCATTTACTACTAAAAAGCAGCTGGCCCGCTCCGCAACACTGGCAACAAGATGTCCCAAGTGCTGTGGCTTTGACAGGTGACATGTGATTACTTTTTTCTTTTTTTATTTAGAGACTTTTCAAAGGACTACAAGCTCTCTTCCAAGCCCTGCTGCATCGATTATGCAATAGCTGTACTGAGCTGTGTCTGCTTTCTGCCACAGCAGCATTCCTCCATTCCAAAGCACTCCCTTGGCAGAAAAGTTTAACCCGAGGCCATCAGCACAGCACTCAGTGGGCTCATGCTCTGAAGGGACTTCTGCTACAGTAAGCTTGAAATTAAACATTTGTTTGTTCAGTCCGATCGCTGCCATACACATCCTCAGGGAGGCGGGCGAGCATCCCAGAGCCCCAGGGCAGCCGGTACCAGAGCAACCCCTTGTTTCACTCCAAGGTGCTCCTTCAGCCACTGCACGTCAGGGCTGGCACCTCCCTGCCCTGAGCAAGGTTTCACCCTTCCTTCGTGCACGCACTGGCACCCCTGCAGCCAGCGACTGAGACAAGAGAAAAGGTAAAACGGCAGCGTGCTTTCTGTGCTTTCTGCTGGACGAGTGAATCGAGCTCACAAGCCAGCCCACCACGGCAGCGGCAGCACAGAGCACAGGCAAGATGACGACGGTTGCCTGAGGCAAATCAGAACATCTTGCTTAGCTCCCTCCCAGCAAGAAAAGAACTAAAACCAGCCTCACGCCTGCAGTACCAGGGATGCTCACGCTCCCCATTCTTCCTACACTATAGCTGCAATAAAAATATTAAACATCACCACTGGCGAAACTAGTGACAAAATCTTCCCAAAGTGGAATGAGGAAGAAGCCCTAAGCATGGCAGAGCTTTGTTCCCATTCCAGCTTGGTTTTGCACTCTCTCCTACACTGGGGAAGGTCGAGGAGATGTTTCCAGGGATACATTTGGTGCATCGACACATCCCGAAGCAGCAAGTCCCTCAGCTGACTGATCTTCTCCTTGAGACTCTGCAGCGACGATCTGATGAACACATTGAGCTGCAGGGGAAGAAAAAAGAACGGTCGGAATTGTATCTGCATAACATGCAGCACTATTACATGCAGGTGACAAAAAAAATTAACTTCAGCTTTACTGGCGTGAAAGGCTCCATCCTCAACCACGACAGCCTGCCTCAGAGCAGTTAACTGGGCTGGGCGGCTTATAAAATGAGATAAAAAGTGCAAGTTTTGCAACCACGCTTCTAATGCATTGGTGCTGTTTCATATGGTGAGCTTTCTTTCAAGTCGTTATAAACAGGCTCCTTTCTGGGCAAAGTATTTCAGCACATTTTAATATTTTCCAGTCCTCCCCTCTGATCTTTAATACAAATATAGGCGCCAGCTCCTTCTGCCACTGGGCGTCTTTCTCATGGTCAGAGGAAGCTCGCTGCAGGTTCAGACACTGCCTCCCCTGAACTCTTCCAGACTTTAAAGGACAGATCCCGAAGACATCCAGCTTTGCCCCATTTCCCTTCTCAGTCCCACCTGTGCCATCCTGGCCCTTCCTCACCCTGCCTTGCCCGCGGCTCGGCCTGTGTCTGCTCTCCCTGAAAGCTCAGCTCAGCCCTTCACACTCCTGGCTCCAAGCAGGGCTGAGGCTTTTCCCTGCCCCTTCCCAAGTTAGACTGATGTCATCCTCTGAATTTTTCCTCCAAAATGGTGTTTCTTTTCATTCCAACTGCTCAGAATGCTAGGAAAGACCATCACGGCTGCAACTAACCACACAGGTCTCCCTAATTATGGCTGTATGTGCTTCTACACACAGCACCAGCACAAACTGGGCTGCAAAATCACCTGAGACCTCAGGGCTTTAAGCCCCTCTGACGGGGGGCCTTGTTCCCAAACATGGTGATGAACAGCAGCAGAACCTCGAGGCAGGCCTGAGAGCACGCAGCCAGAGCGCTGCACAGCCTGCGTGCAGACACAGCTCCAGAGCCACAGCGGGGCACAGACACTGTGTGCCCCCCAGCTCTGCTGTACGGTAAAGATTTTCCCTTCCCGTGCACGTTTCCTGCACTCACAGGCAGCTGCAGAGCGCCGCCTGCAAGCAGCACAGCAGCTGCGGGTGTTGGTGGCCGGGCAGTCAGCTCACCTGCAGGCTGCCTCCGCTCCTCCAGCCAGAACTCTGCTGTTCTAACAAAGCCTTCACTGCCATTAAAGGGGGACAAAAAAAAAGTAACAAGAAGCCAAGGGAAGTTTTATGAACAGCCCAACACAGCAGAGTTGGCGGATTTTAAGTGCTGCCTTGAAACCTTTCCCTGTTTTTTTTCCATTGGAAACGTTACGCTCTATTTTTATTTAGCAATAAGCAAGGAGGGGCTTTTTTTAGCCACGCTAATGGTCAAACGCTATGGAAATAACAACTCGCTCAGATCCTCCCCGCGAGATAAACCCCGTGCAAAGTCTTTCACTCTCTCCAACCACCGAGGAGTCACAGCATAAACGCCAGCCCAGCTGTGGATTTCTCAACAGGCGCTTGTGTTGTGGAAACAGCCCCCTGATTGCCGGGGACGTGTTTGCAGTAGAACCAAGCGCTGCGAGGGAGCCGCCTTCAGCTGCTGATGGGTTTTGGGGACGCTGCGCTGGGAAACGGGAGGGCAGGGCAGGGGCAGGGGCAGGGGCAGGGTCTGCACCAAGCACAGCCTCGAGCAGCTCCCGCACAGCTTCTGGGGATGCGGCCCCAGGCACCCGGCGGCCTCCAGACCCCGCCCGGTGCCGGTGATGCCGCTGGGACCCCCCCGGGCCCCCCTCCCTCAGCCCTCAGGGCCCCCCCCCCCCGTACCTGTGCCGGGCTCTCCCCGCCCCGCTGCCGCCGCTCCCTCTCCCGGATCCTCTCGGCGAGCTCCTGCGCCAGGCGGCAGGCGGCGGCGTGCTGCGACAGCCTGCGGACAGCGACAGGACGGGGACAGCGCCTCAGGGACAGCCCCGGTGCCCCCCGGCCCCCCCCAGCCCCGCTCCCCCCGCCCCCCCCCCGGTGCTCACCAGGGCTCCGCAGCCATCGCGGCCACCCGGAAGCGCTGCGCTGGCCGCGGCCGTCACGTGACGACGGAGCGCGACGAGGCCCAAACAACGCCGGCGCCGCCAAACGCCAGGAGGGGGGGCGCGGGGCAAAGGGGTGCAGAGAGCTGCGGGATGCACGGCTGCAAAACGCAGAGCCTGCAGGGTGCAGGAGGGCAGGGTGCAGTGCTGCACGGTGCAGAGGTGCAGAGTTGCAGGGTGCTGACTTCAGAGGTGTACAGCTGCAGTCAGAGTTGCATGGGCACAGTGCAGAGCTGCACGGCTGCACGCTGTACATTGCACGCTGCACAGGTCGTGGTGCACGGGTGCACGGTGCTTGGTGCAGAGAGCACAGGTGCACAGTCCAGAGGGCAAAGGGGAGTGCAGAGAGACAGAGCTGCAGAGGTGCAGGGTTCAGTGGTGCAGAGCGCAGGGTGCAGAGTTCAGAGGTGCACGCTGCAGAGCTGCAGGCTGCATGGTGCATGCTGCAGAGTTGCACAGTGGGGGTGCAGAGGTGCAGGGTGCAGTGCTGTGGGGCGCATGGTGCATAGTGCATGGTGCACAGTGCGGGGTGCGGAGGCACAGGGAGCAGAGGTGGGGTACACAGGGCATGTGCACAGTGCGCAGTGCACAGCCAAGCAGTGCAGATGTGCATGGTGCACAGGAGTGGGCTGCAGCAGTGCAGGGTGTGTGGGTGCTGGGTGTGCAGCACGAGGTGCAGAGGTGTCAGGGGGCAGAGCTGCACAGCTCCGTGGTGCTGGCTGCGTGCTCCATGGCGCAGGGTACAGGGGCGCAGAGCACGCAGCGCAGGGGTGCAGTTGTGCACGGGGATGTGGTGCAAAGAACAGAGCACGGAGCTGCAGGACGCACAGATGTGGCTGTCCCCAGCTGTGCCCCAGCCCTCGGGCTGACAGAACAATGCACACACACCCATCAGGCTGCCCAGTCCTCCTGTCCCCTCGTCCCAGCCATCTCCTCCTCCAGGTGAGATGCTATTCCACCTGCTAGGGTCCCCTTGGAAACCTTTGCAATCCCCTGGGTGCTACCAGGGCATCCGATGCTTTCCCTAAGGCCCAGGGATCGCCGCTCTCCCCCCTTCCCCAGGACAGGTTCTGCTCACTTGGTGCCGCGGTGTTTGTGCCAGAAACATTGGCAGGGAGGTTTATTTGTATAACGCAATCACTTCCCTCTAATTGCTTCTCGGTTTCATGACGCCCTTCTGGTGTGCAGGAAGCGCTGCCTCCGGTCGGCACTGCTGAGGAACACAGAAATCCTTCACGTTTCCCATTTAGCTTGTATGGGGCCACCTACAAGCTCTCAGCCCCGGCCTTGCAGCTCCGCAGAGCACCGCTGCTCTCTGACTGTGCCCCACGCAGCACGGGGCAGCCAGGACGCTGTCAGGGCACCTGGATGTGGCTGCTGCCATCACGTTATCATGGTCCGGATCAAAATGCTCTGAAGCCATGGGGCATGCTGTGCTTTGGGGTTTGGAAGAGCAGGATGGGGAACGGCTGGGATGCAGTCAGACGGCAGAGGAAGGGTGGGGAGAGCCCCGGTGTCCCCCAGGCCGTGGGGACCCCAAGCTCTGGGGCTGAGCAATGGCAACAGGAGGGCAGTGACCCTGTGGTCAGGAGCTTGGCCCTACACTTTGCTTCCTCCCCTTGTTCCAGGAGACAGAAGGACGAGAAGAAGCTGTTGTTAAATTCTACTCCGAAGAGAAACAAGGTGCAGGGACCCACATTTTGGCCGGCTGGCTGGAGCCAAAAGGTGCCATAATCACCTCAAGAAGCCCCATTTGGCCTTCCATAAAAGCCCAAAGTACACCGGGAGGCACAAAAAGAACCAGCTCAGCTCAGTGGGGCCGCTGCTTCAGAGCTCACGGTGTGCCCGGCCCCGGTAACGGTGACGTGACCGAGCTGAGCACCGGCCCCTTCGCTGCCTCGGCCCAGGCAGGCCTCGAGCACGGGCTTCCTCGGGACCTGCAGGCTGAGAAAAGAGCCAAGTGCACAGAGCTGTTAATGTGTTTGTAAGGGGTTTTTTGCAGCAGCTTGGAGTGGCTGTAGCAGGAGAAATTGACACCTGGGAGCGGGCAGAGCGCACTGCTGGGAAGCCGTGGCACTGCCCGGTGCTGGCACCCTCAATATTTGGGCTCCTCGGGGCCCTGCAGTGAGGCCACTCGGGCTCTGGTGTTACAGCAGCCCTCAGGCCACGCAGGGTTTGGTCTCCTCCTTGCTGCCATCACTGACGCCAATCCCTGCAGGTACGGGCAGGAGTGCAGGTGCCCTAAAAGCAGTGGCAAGGCAGTGGCAGCGATGATTTATGGCCCCCATAACACAGGGCTGTCACTGCACCTGCCTCGGTATTGGCACGATAATGTGTCACCTTTCTGGACCGCTGCAGCTTTGCTCTGGGCACCCCAAGGTCCCTGGGCACCCGAATCCGCAGGGGCTGGGCCTGTGCAGGCAGCTTGCATGAAACATTTATGGCCCCCAGCTGCGCGGCTCGAGGAGGCAGCGTGGCCTCTACATATTTAATTTTTTCTCCATTAAAAGCAAAGGAAATGGCAGAGCCACATCACACGGTGCCTAATCCGCTCCCATCTCCTGTCTCCACACAGTCACGGGGGCCGTGGGGTGCTTCAGTCTGACCCAGAGGCAGCGGGAGGCGTCTGCTGCTCCAGGAAAAGCACACGGGGAGAGCGCTGGCCACCAAGGGCCTGGGCAAAGCAGCAGCACCAGGTTGGGAAGCTGCAACACCAGGTTTCAACGCAGCCCAGTGTCTGTCCGTCCCACCACCACCAGCCCGGCACCCCCAGGTCCCCGCAGCCCCTTGCCCAGCTTCGTCAGGCTAAGCCGTGCCGCTTGGGCCGTGTTTTGGCACATGGAGGCGAGGCTTCATCCACAGAGGTGACGCTCTGTGGGGCAGCGCTCCTGCTCCGCTGCAGGAGCCCCGGCAAGCCCTCAGGGATGTGCTGCGGGTGCAAAGGGGACGGAAGGAGGCGAGGCAGGGACCAGCAGCAGCTGTTAGCATGAGAGAAAAAAAAATACAATTTCTTAAGGAAAATATAGTGCCTTATTTGCCTTAAAAACTCCCCGCTTTTAAGTGTAGCCCGACCTGTGGGTTCACTGATGGTCGCAAGGTCCCTGCATGCTCCTCTCCTTTCAGCTGCTGCAGCTTTTCCTTGAGCCCACAAACGTTTGTAACCCTGCAAAACGTTTTGGGGCAAAGTCAATCAGTAACAACAGCTTCAAATGAGACAGACTGGAATGCTGAAGTACAGAAATGTGCTTGGAATTACCACATTTGGGGCTCCACTGAGCTGGGGGGGACCCATCTGAACACCCTCTGCCACCGCTGGGGAATGCTGAAGCCTTGTGCCAGGTGCCTGGTGCTGGAAGCACTGGTGCAGCTCAGCCCTGATTCACCCCAAAGAAAGCGGGGTGCTTTGCTGCAGAAAGCCATGGTTCTCCACCACCAGCTCCTGTTTGCATCGCCGGCTTTGCTTTGTCCCCAAACCCCGAGGTTTTTCCTACAGGTGCTCCCCGAGCGCTTGCACGCCAGGTGCTGCCCGGCCCCACGGCACCTGGCAGAAGGGCGTCATTTTGTCCTCGTGGCCCCAGCCTCTTGCTCGTCACCTGGTTCCTGGCACTCGCTGCTCACATGCCTCCACTTCTGCCCCCCCCGAGACCCGCGCAATCCAGCGGGAAGCGGCTGCAGCCCCACTCACCGTGTTTATGCTTCCTCCCGTCAAGGACGGGCGATTGCGCGTCCCTCCCTCGCCCCCTCAGCACCCTCCCCGCCCGGGAGTGAATGTGAAGATAAAGGTTATCCCTGGGGAAAAATAACCGTGGGGTTTAACGGCCGTGTTGCTGTTTTGATGGCTATCTCATCCCCTCCCCGAATAGGGCACAAAGGGGCGAGTGGGCACGGGGCCGCTCCTCCCCGCGTGCTGTTTACACCAAACACGTGCCCCGCGCACACAGGGCGCATTAAAAGTCAGGGCAGAGGCTGCAGCCGGCAGCGGGGCCTCCCCAGAGCAGGTGAATGCTGCAGGTGGGGCTCAGCCTGCCCCGTGCCCCCGGGGGGGCGGCCGGGGGCTTCCCAGCACAGCCAGAGCAGGGTGACGGGGACGGCGATGGCACCAGCACCACACAAGGTGGGTGAGTGCTGGGGGATGGAGGGAACCCAGGGCACCCAGAGCAATGGGGCTGGGGCAGATCCATGTGCCCAGCCCCACTGACAGCCCCGGGGTGTCACCCTGGTGTCAGGCTGGGGACTGTGTCCTGGGCTGGGTGACTCCGGGTGACACATTTTGGGGTGGTGGTACCCAGGGCTGCCCTCCTGCTGCAAGTACAGGGGGGGTCTGGGAATCATGGCGGTACCTAGAGGTACAAAGAGCCCTGCTTAAACCCGGCTCTTCATTTGAGCCTGGGTTTTAGGGATGTAAGTGTGATGGAGCTGGGTGTGTGGCCCCCAGCATTTTCCAGCCCGTTGGTCTGCCTTCATTCCAGCCCGGCTGCTCAGAGCAGGGAGCCTGCCGGAGCTGGCCCGGGGCTGAGCCTGACCTGGTGCCTGGCCTGACCCAGAACCGGAGCTGAGCTGAGCCAGCACAGCATGAACAGAGCCGGACCCAGCCTGGGAGCTGTCCCTCCCCATGTCACCAAGCTGCCACCTCTGCGTGGCGTGTGTGGCTGGGGCCGTGCTGTCCCTGCGTGTCCCCTTGGGTCCAAAGCGGAGAGCTGGCTCTGCGCAAATCCTCAGACGGGGAGCTGAGACTCATCCAGCCCTGCTTAACCGAGCACATCCAGCACCATGCTCTAGGAATTAATGTGTGTGTAATCAGCTTCATGCTGCCCGTTAACAACTGCTCTGCACAAACCCCCCAGATGGCAACAGTGCAGGCTTTGGGGCTGAGCTCCACGGGAACCCCGAGGAAAATGCCTCTGGTTTCTCCCTAGGAGGAGCTCAAACTCTGCTCTTGTGAGCTCACAGCCCTCTGCGTGCACCAATTCCCACCTCGGAGAGGCTGCTCAGACGTTCTCCAGCCCTCGCCCGTGGTTGCCTGGCTGGGGACTCAGCGGGTGCGTGGGGACGTGAGGAGCAGGGGCCGTGTTGCC